GAGTGCCTATCCATTATCAGGCATGGTTCCAGGTATAAAGGTATAGCAGCGAATAAGACAGGCATCCCTGCCCTTTACAGAGTCTTATTAAATGAATTATTTAATTATTCATGTTAAATGAACATAATGTATGGATGATAAGTGGCATGGAAAATAGAGCAGAGAAGGGATAAGGCGCGCAGGGGAGTTGTCAGGGAAGGCCCTGCTGATGGGATGACTTTTGAACAGAGCTGAAGGATGTGAGGGAGTGAGGTCTGTCTGTCTGAAATAAGACTGTTCCAGGCACAGAGCATAAGGATATGAAACAGGAGCTCACCTGGCTCAGTCATTACTCCTCCAAAAATTCTCTGCTGTCTTGATGTGGACAACTGCCCTTTTCTGTTTTCCTACATGTTCTCATGTTTTCCTCTAAGTAGCACTTATGACATGATGTTGTACTGTCCATGTGTATGTCTGTTTCTCTCACTTGGATGTGGGTTTCTTGAGGGCAGGGACCTCTGATCCTGTCTCCTCAGCACCTACATTATGACCTGACTTGGAGTAGGCACTCAGAAATACTGATTTAAAAAATGAATATAGCCTTATGGGCCTCGTTCTTACAGCCGCATAATTTTTACAAATGATTTGTGGGATAGGGCTTGGATGACAGGTGGTGAGAGGGAAAAAAAAAAGAATTCTAAGCCTGGTTCTGTCTGGCTGGCTTGATACTTTTTTGATTCCTCTGAGAAGTAGAACACCTGCTTTTCTTTGAGAAATGTACCTACAGACTTCCATTTTTAGCACTATGGTAGGCTATCTAACCTGTAAAATGGTGAATAAAATATAACAAAGGCCTTTAAGCTGAATTTGCAAGAAAGTAAGAGAAATCCCCAGGAGCCTAAAAACCAAGAATGAACTGAAAGCCAAAGTAGTTAGCCCCTTAACCTGACCGGAGGTGTTTGCTGGTCTTACTTACCTAGAAGTCTGGGCTTTAATAGACCTGCTGTTACAGTGAATGAAGCTATGGGCCTGCATGGGTTAGATGCTGGTTGGAACTAAGATCCCCGCATGAAGCCACGTCCCTTGAAAATCGACACATTCTGATGGGATGGACTAGGGAAAAGAAATCTCACTGCTGACAGAGATGACAAAGAAGGTTGCCTTTTATCCTAGGCTCCAGGAGAGGGGGTCAAGTTTCCCTAGAGAATTTGTAACCACAGGCATTCCCTTATATGGATTTGGGTTTATATTTATATTACCTGAATGGCTTAAAAACCCCAAGCCAAGGAATTGACATTAGAAATCATCCGGGCTGGTAATACCGTGGATGCTTGGCAGAAATGTGCAGAATCTCTGGAGAGTCACACCTGAACACAAGCTGAATAAGAGTCCCACAGAGTCTAGAGGAGAGATTTGTTAAATGAGGATGCATATGGCCTGCTTTGTGCTGTTAAGACCATGATGCTACATTTGTATATAAAAAAATAATAATAAGCATTTGAGTACATCTCTGCCTCCTGGCGATCTCCCGAAATGGAATGATAGAGCAGAACTTGTATACAAGCCAGCATTTGGGTGTGGACCCACATTTAGCTGCCTCCTCTCCTTGCAGAGGTCATGGAAGAGGTGACATCGTGCTCCTGCAACAGCCCTCTGTTCCAGCAGGAAGACAAGAGAGGGATCACCTACCGGATCCCAGCCCTGCTCTACGTGCCCCCCACCCACACCCTCCTGGCCTTTGCAGAGAAGCGCTCCACGAGCAGGGATGAGGATGCTCTCCACCTGGTGCTGAGGCGAGGGTTGAGGACGGGGCACTCTGTACAGGTGACTCCTCATCGCAAATCGGGGCCTGGGTCTCAGTTTCTCTCCGCATTTGCTCAGAGCACTCAGGGTCTGTGCCTATCCCCATCAGTGCAGGAAAAGCCCTGTGTGGGAGCTGAGGAGAAAAGCAATAAAAGCAGTGACTCTCAATGAGTACCCAACTGTGTGCCAGGGGCACAGTGATCCTCACAGCTACCCTGTGACATAGGAACTGTTGTCAGTCAACATTTGACAGATGCGGAAACTGAGGCTCAGAGAGCTTACCACTTACTCAAGGTCACACAGCTAGAATAAAGCAGTAGAAGCAGGCCTCAAACTTGGCCTCTGACTCCAGAGGCCTTCATTGTCTTCATTCATTGTCTTTTATCTTTGTGAGTCACCCAGGGAAGCAAGCATTGTTAGTCCAGGGTTGCTGATGAGGGATCCTGGTGCTCCAAGAGGTAGGTAGCTTATTCAAGACCACAACTAGCAGATGATGGGCTGGGGGTGTAGGGTAACAACACCATTCTCCTGCTACTCCTCCCCTTCCCACCTCCTGCTTTATGTCAGGTACAGATTATTTCCATTGAAATGACTTGCCAAGGGTACACACCTAGTAAGTGGAAGAACTGGGCTTGGAGCCCTTGTGCCTAAGGAGCACCTTTTNGTTGGAATTGTATAAGAAGAGCTGTCCTTTTTCCCCATTTACTTATTCAATTACTCATGTAAATATAGACTTACTAGGGTTTTGTTTTATTCAGTGTGTTATAATCTAATACTATTATTTTCTTTATATATATATTTTTTATATACATATATATATACACACACACATACACACACACACATGCACACACATATAACATATATATTATCTTTTATTTTTATTTTTTTTAGTATGGGTGGCCCAATACTCTGGCTCTCTGGTTCTTTTTATGAAGTCCTCGCTGAGGCCCGGAACTTTTGTTTGACTCTCAGGCTGCCCAGGGAAGTTTTAGGCCGTGATACCTACCAATATACTGGCAACCAATAGATAAGAGCATGGCAATAAGGCGCTGAAAAGGTGGTGGACAGCGAGGAAATGGAAGCGGGGGGCGGAGCGAGGGGGGCCTGCGCGGGCGTTGGGAGCCGTGGTAGGCCCAAGGCCTGAACTGAACTTTGGCCTGGGCTGGAGCGGGTGGTGGTCAAAAAGGAAGAGAGGCAGGTCCCTCGCCGGGCAGGGACTGGACAGGGGACTGGAGAGAGGAGGGGCGAGCGGGCGGGCTGGGACGTCAGAGACTGGGAGGTGAGGGGGCGGGGCCTCGGCCCCACCAGTCCGAAGGGGCGGGGCTGACTCCGGGTCTCTGCCAACCGCTGGTCCCAACGGCCGGCGGGCGGTGGCTTCCGCGCGTCCCCGCCTCCGCTTCTCCTGCGGATCTCTGCGTCCTAGGTCTGGCCGTCCTATGTTTGGCCGCCTCCCGGTTTCTCCGTGTTTCTGTCGCCCTCTTTATTCACTTTTCGAGGTTTGTGTCTGTGTCCGCAGTGTCTCTTTCCTGCCTCCGTTTCCCTAGCCTTGCTCATTCTATGCTTTGGTGTCCGAGATCTGAGGGCCTGCCCCCGCGCCCAGCTCTGCCCGAGAAAGACGGAGGAGCCGGGGTTCTGCGCAGGTGAGAGGGACTGGGAGACTGGAGAGCCCCCCGAAAAGTGGGGCCCTGTGACTATGGGGACAGCTTCAGCAGCACCATCTGGGCTTAGGAAATCCAGTCTTGGGGGAATACTGAGTCAGAGCTACCCCCAGTCAGTTAGCATTTCAGATATAACCAGAGAATATTCTTGGCTAAGTTCTATTTTTGTTTTCCTTCGCTGAAGCCAGACGTAAATCTTTGAATTAGCATTTTAGAGATGAAGGGAACTGAAACGGAACAACCTTCTTACTCGAGAAGGGGTCTGTGGGTTCCAGAGACCTGAGCTGGAATTTAGGAGACCTGGGTCTTGATCCAGGTTTGCTACTGACTCGTTGAGTGGCCTTATATAAGTTTGTTCCTCTCTCTGGGCCTGTGTTTTCGAGTTTTCCCACCTGTACCGTAAGAGGGTTTTGAACCACAGGATCTCAAAAAGCCTGAGGTATGATGGGTTAGCCTTAAAAATTATTTGTTAGGAGTGAATAAACGAGATAGGGAGATCTCCTGAGGTTCACTGGAGGCTGCCTGCTGCACTGGATTAATTGGAGTCTGTGGAATTACATTATTCTTATAACCTGAGAAATAGTATTATCCTTATTACAAGTGAGGAAACAGGCTCAGAGGTAAAGTGATTTAATAAGTGTCAAAGCCAAGTCAAACTTAAAAGTTCATGCTACACTGTTCTCTCTCCCAGTAAGGGAGCAGAGAGGACTTGATTGAAAGGTGATTATATGAAACAGCAATTAATGATATGACTTCTCTGCTAAAATGAACAACTCCAAAGCAGAACTGTATCTGGTTCTTCTCTCTCTCTCTAGTCCCCAGCATAGGGTTTGTGTGACTGACTAGTTTGGGTGTCAGTGCCAAAGCCACCATCTGTGTTATCACTGTCTTCAACACAATCAGCATAATCATAATAAAAACTAATGATAGCGACTCTAATTGTTATAGTGATAGTANATGTTTCCTTTGCCCTAACATCATCTCCAGGCCAGCCTGGTTGCCACACCCTCAAAGTGGCACCCTAGCCAAAAAGAGCCCTTAAGTAGTTACCATTAATTCTGGTTTGGCCACCTGGATTCTTGGTTTGACATGGTGCTAGGTATAACATTTGGAAAATGTGATAAAAGGCTCCCCTGGAGCCTTTTCTCTCAGAGGAAAATGGCCTAGTACAACTCTCCCAAACTGTTGCAAGCCCCTTAAACTTGACTGACTGCTGGTCATCCCCCACCAAATGACTGAGCACAATTTGATAGCCATTCCCTTTAACTTACTGAAAAGTCTATCAGAAAATCAAAACGTTCAGCTCCTATACCTCTCAGGCAAAACATGTCGCAACTTCCAGAACTCCCCACCTCCATTCTAGCTATTAGTCATGCTATGGGTTGGACAGGTGGCACCTGGCTGGTGGTGTGGATATATGGGACAGGTTGGACTAATTGCCATCAGGCAGTCTTTCCAAAAATACAGACTGGTTTTAATTATTCTAGGTGAACTAGGAACTCTTAAGCCTACCAGGTAGCCAGGAGGTCACATTAGGGACATGATCAACCATATCCCCTGAATGATGTGGGCTCCATTGGGAGGCTCCAACAAATATAAACGGGCATCAAATATGTCCACAGGATATTCCTATGTAGAAGCCAGGCATGAACTTGCCTCCTCCCTGAAATCATGGTGACTTGCACCATAAGGAGAGTCAAGCAACTTGCATGTGTTTAGGGAAGCACTGCCCATCAGATCATGCAGCCATCAGATGACTGTGGAGATTGCTCCAAAATGAGGCTATACCCTCGGTTATGAGGAGGAGCTTCCTGGAGGGGTGACTGACTCATTTAGGCACATTGCAGGTTATCCCTATCTTGGATCATCCTATCAGAAACGTTGATATGGAATTTGTACCTGACTTTAGCTGAAGCCATCAATGATGCCACCTTAGACTTGGAATGCATTCAGGTGAGTCTCAGCTCACTGGCCAGTGAGGTTATGGATGATAGAATTGCTCTTAACTTCCCTGTGGGCCAAGGTAGAATATGTAATCACCAATACACCCTGCTGTACCTGAATTAATGCCTCCGGCCAGGTACTAGATCAATACAGAAATTAGAGAATGCCACCTGGCTTTCTAAGGTACACCTTGATGGCTTATGGGGGGTTTTGTGTGTGTGTGGTTTTGTTTGTTTTGGTGGTTGTTTTTCCAGCTGTTTCAGTCAAGGCCCTTGGGTATGGTTGAGGTCAATTCTGCAGATTGTTCTCATCCTGTTGCATGGAATTCTGTTGATAGAATCCTTAATTAAATGCTGTATGAGACCATTAGCATGGATTTGATCCTCATTTCTGTCAGATTAATTAGAGTGGCCAATGGAATAGCATACTCAGAAAATGAATCAGAAGCCACCTGTACAAAGTGCTGTGGAGGCTGGAAGAAGAGTAACTGTTTTAGCATGGAGGCCTGGGAGGTCCTCATATAGGAAGTGAAACCTGTTTTATCTGAGTCATGAAGTAGATTATGAGTAGGGTCTAGAGCAGCGGTTCTCAACCTGTGGGTCGCGACCCCTTTGGGGGTCGAACGACCCTTTCACGGGTCGCCGGGTACTCGTATGTGGGCGTATCTGCATGTGGGCCTGGAGACGGATAGAGGAGCGGCGTCTCGGTTCCTAAGACCATTGAAAATATGTGTTTTCTGGGCCGGCCGAGTGGCGTGATGGTTAAGAACTGGCTTGGGACGCCAGAGGGCCCCGGTTCGGATCCCACATATGAGGGCCAGTGACACTGCCCTCTACA